AAAAGCCAAATTTACGGAAGAGGAATAGGGCCACTGAAAAAAAATGTTAACTGATTTCTATTTCAGTTTAATATAGGAAAAAAGTTCTGTGATTAAAGTCAGAATTCTGAGAAAAAAAAGTCAGAATTCTGACTTTAATCACAGAATTCTAAATTTAATCTCAGAATTCTGACTTTTTTCCAAAAAGAACTTTTTTCTTTTTTTTAAGTGGCCCCTAATCCTCTTCCTACAAATTTGAGCTGGTCATGCTGAAAATAAACCCCTCCCATAAACACTCACACAAGTCAGATCCACATACCTCCCACGGGGCGTGGCCAAGCTGAGAGATTATAAATACCCCTACCTTTACATCTGAATCATTTAGTTGCTATGATTTCCAACAGTTTTAGTGTGTTTTAATCTTGAGAAGCAGGACTGTATGGACTTGTTGCGCGCAGTTGCGTGTCGCGCCGTTTCATAGTTTTGGGTTTGTTTGTTTTTTTGTAGTTGTTTTTAAGTTTTAATAATGCTAAAAAATAATGGGAAAAAGACAGCGGTCTCTGTAGCGTGCACGGGATGCCTCTGCTTGCTGCTGCTGCTGGTGGTCGCGCTGCAGCATCAGCGCGTTCAGGTGACGGACGGAGAGGACGCAGCCGCGCGCGCTGCGCCGGAGGAGAGCGCGCGGCTCAGCGGGGACAAGAAGGGATTCTCCACCTATTTTACCAAGCTGACCCGGGGACGGAGGGAGGTGGAGAAACCCGCACGGACCTCCGCCGCCGCCTCGGACCCCCCTCCGGCTGAGGACATCAGCGCGGCTGACATCTTCATCGCCGTGAAAACCACTAAGAAGTTCCACCAGTCCAGACTGAACCTGCTGCTGGACACCTGGATCTCTAGAAACATGCAACAGGTGATAAAGCACTTCTCACTTTTCCCTTTTATAGTAAGGCAAGTACAGTACAAAGACAATGCAAAGTGCTTTACATGGTTAAAATATATGAAAATAAAACAGAATCAAAGCAAGTAGGAAAAAATTAAAATAATAAATGCAGAAACAAAAAAGAATATTAAAAACAATTGGACTAAAGAAAATAAAAAAGTTGAACTAATGATGTTTCAGTTGAACTGTTTAACTACAACAGAAGGCACAATCCTAAACAAATGTGTTTTTAGTCCTGATTTAAAGGAACTTTAAGTGCTTTCCGCACTTTTACAGTTTTCTGCAAGTTTGTTTCAGATAAGTGGAGCATAGGAACTAAATGCTGCTTCTCCATTTTTAGTTCTGGTTCTAGGTATGCAGAGCAGGCTGCTGCCAGAAGACCTGAGTGTAAGCAGTTTATTAAAACAGTGTGCAAACTGAGAAGGAATTTTGGGATTAATTAAAAAGTAATTAAAAATTTAAAATTAGGTGAGGAATGATTGTTTCTGGTCATCAAATGTGCATTAAACAGCCTCTGTTGCTCGATGTCTCTTTCACTCTTTATTCTCCTCTGAATGATGCCAATGAGAACGGAGGGAGCAGTTTCAGGACCCCCTGTTCTCCCCCTGTCCCCCCCACTGCCTATTATCCCTCTTATTCTTTGCTGTCCCTGTGAATGCCGCTGTTGCAATTGATGCTTCACAGCACCGACTCCAGCTCTGCCCCCCCCTTTCCAGGACCTAACAAAGCATCTTACTGAAAGAGAGGAAAGGAGGGGGTTGTCCCCTGTCCCCCCATTCCTTGTCTCCTCTCTCCCTCTTTCTCCATGGGAACATGGGAGCTGGGTCTGGGTCACTGGAAGGGATGGGAAAGAAAATTGGGGTTCAGCTGTAAAGGGAAGCATTGGACAATAGGGTGCATCTGCAGGCAGGTTTGGCATGGAGGTGCACAAAGAGAGGCCCGTTATTTCTTTGAAGAACGTAAAAATTAGAAGTAATTCTAGTCTGTATCTTGATGTTAGGCTTTCTTCTTCCACTTCTCTTTCCCCTCCTAAAACCAGCTCTTCCTCTTAACCTCTGGAACAGTATATGGAAACCACCCATCATCAGTAATCATTAGTCTGAGCAGTTTCAGCTCCACACTAAAGAGTTGAACACACTCTCAGCTCTTCACAATCTGTGCTAATTGGCTATAGTAGATATTAGTGAACTCCATATTCCAGAGGTAACAGCAGGACTGATAGGCAGACAGCTGGTGGGGGTGGGATTGGGGGGTCCACAAGGACAGAAAAGGATAGACTGTGCAGCACAATGCAAGAGGGAGTTCCTAGAGGAAGGGTGCCAGGTGGTCAGGGGGACATGGAACAAAGGACGGCTTTAACGCCAGCCATATGATGCTTGGAGTTCCCACCGCTTGCATATGGCCGTCCTCATCAGCAGAGCTTGGATTCTCACGCTCAGCTGATGAGCATCTGTGAAGTTTGGATCATTTTTATACAGGTGTAAGGATGGAAAACAGCCCCACTTTTAGCAAAAGTCAAATGGAGGGATAAAGGTGGATGCTTCTCTGTATTGCTGTTTGGGCAAAGAGACATTTTTGTTATCTGTAAATAAAGTTGCAGTCTGAGTAAGAATTTTTGACAGCATCATTATTTAAATAGATATTTGTTATAGATTGTATATCAGATTTTTTTTTCTGAACCTGACCTTCTGAAACTGAAAATCTTTCTGTAAGACCCACATTGAGATTAAATATTTCCGTAGTTGAGTTAATATGAGGTTCTGAAATAGCAGTGGTCTGGCTTGGCACGAAGACAAGGTGTAGATGCATCATGCCCTCTTTATGTCCCTGAGTTGTTTTGTAACACATTTCTCCTGACAAAGAGTGCTGAAAGGCTCCAGTACAGAGAGGGGAAGGAGTCAGGGTGGAGATGGTTGGTGGAAAGAAGGGAGCCTGCAGGCCTTCCTTCCTGTGGAGCTGGAGGCAGCCAGCCAGGCACCACGTTCAGCTCAGACAGGGCCATCCGTCCAAGTCCTTCCTGTGGTCTGGATTGCACCATACTTCCTCCCACTTATTGATTTTCTCTGCATTTTAATGTAATTTCCCTTTTTTCTTTTTGTTCTATTTCAAATTCTGTAAAAGTAACTGCAGGTTCAAGTTCCAGAATGGAAGAAAAGCAGGAAAATATCTCCCCTAAGTGCATTCTTTTCACTTAACTCCAGCAGCTGTATGCAAATGCAGGCAAATATGCTCAGAATTTACCCAGTGGAGACTTTACCCAGCATGAAAGCTCTCTGCATTGTTCAATTGAAGAGCCTCTGGCTGCGTGTGGGGCTCAGAGAAGGAGGAGGAGAGGGAGGATGAGGAGGAACAGGGGGTGAATGGCCACACACGGTTTTCGATTTACTAATCAGTGGTGAGATTCCTGCTTTCCTAACCCTCCCCTCCCTCCGTCTCCCTTTCTGTCATTGCCCTGGCAGCTCTGCCAGCTGCCTTAGTGATTAGGCCATCTATTCATCAAGCTTTTAAAGCAAACAGCGCCAGACTGTGATCCCCTCACAACTAAAACCATCACCTTGCCTTAAACAAATACAGGCTCTCTGCTTTTAGCATAAAGAACAAAAAAACGTCTGCTCAGAATTTGCTGGAGAAAAAAAATCCTGCAGTAGTTTTTTTTTTGGTATTCTTTACTATATAAATACATAAATCTTTATCTGTAAATAAACAAATGGGTCCCTAACTGGCACAAAGCGCCCCGTCATGAGGAAACATGACCTGGCGTGTTTAGGCGCGTGGCCTTGATAAGGTGGCGTGATGTTCGGCAGGTGCTGCCTCACCTGAGGTGAAGAGTAAACATACCCCTGTCAGTTACAAAGCCTGCAGCCTTGAGCCTTTTCATCATTCCCATTGAGCAGCATGCACCTGCTCTGTGTGCACTTAATTGGCCTTTGTTGTTCACCTCTTTTATGACCGATTGGTACATTCAACAAGTGCCTGCAGTCTGGAGGTTTAACTCCTCCGAGGACAAAGATGATGGCGTGTTGGCTGTAACATTTTGGGTAAACACGGCAAGGCTCCGCAGCATGGCTGTTCCAAGGGGGACGTGATGTTGGGTGGGGGAAGTGGGTGGGAGATGGACAGTCTGCCTCCTCTTTTGTTGGTTGTCTGCGATGCTTCAGGGCGGCTGCATGGTTGCCATGGAGAGAGTTAAACGCAGGACAAAAGGCCTTTATTGGAGCAGAGGGCTGTTTAAGGCAGTGTGTTTTCCTCTGCATAAAAGACACGTTGATTGATGCTAATCACAGCGGCTGCATGCGAGGAAGCAGGACTTTGTTTTTCATTTGATCGTATGACGGCTCCATGTAATCAGCCAAAGTGTTTTTTTTATTTTATTCTAAAATAAGCCATCTTATCCTTGACTTTCCTTTGTTCACAGACTTACATCTTCACAGACGGAGAGGACGATGAGCTAAAGAAGAAAATCGGTGAGTTTTATGGGGAAATCCACTGAGATGGGCTTTGTTAGACAGAAACAGCCTATGAAATAGAATTTATGAATGTCAAAACAAATTGCCTGAGGTTTTTTTTTTTTTTTGGACTTTAAATAAAGCCTCCTTTGATTGTGCATTCCATAATACTCTCTCTGTTTCTTCTTGTCATGTTGGTTGCAGGAAGTCACGCAATCAACACCAACTGCTCTGCAGCTCATAGCCGGCAAGCTTTGTCCTGCAAGATGGCGGTGGAATACGACAAGTTTATCGAGTCGGGGAAAAAGTAAGCCCCTCTTTCTGGTGACAGGCATTGGCATTGAAGGTCTGAGAGTTCATGTGTCTTATCCTTTCTTGCTTCATAGATGGTTCTGCCATGTAGACGACGATAACTATGTGAATGTTCGGACCCTTGTGAAGCACCTGTCTCAGTACCCCCACACCCAGGATTTATACATTGGGAAACCCAGCCTGGACCGGCCAATAGAGGCCACAGAGAGGCTGGGTGACAACAAAATGGTGAGTCGCCTTTTTTTTATGGCTGTATAATATTTGTTTAAAAGAAACTGCAACATAGTAATCGTTTTTATTTTGTCCTCATCTAGAAACCCGTTAATTTTTGGTTTGCCACGGGAGGAGCCGGCTTCTGCGTGAGCCGCGGTCTGGCACTAAAGATGAGCCCATGGGCCAGGTGAGAACCAGTTTAGAATCAGAACCAGATGTTTCCAGACATACATTTCTGTTTCTTGACATTAAATAAGACTATTTCTTCTTGTTCAACGTCCGTTAGCAATACCAACATTTTTCAAAATGGCAGGATAATGCAAAAGGAAACTTTTTCAAAAATAGTTTCTTCAACCTTTAAATCCAAAAGTCTACATGTATCATTTTGTTGACTTTTCTTTTTAACTGTTTGATCTGAGTCAAACATTTGTGTATCTGATCAGCCTGTCAATAGCTTGTTGGAGCTTTCCTCCTAACAGAAGTGGTGTAACTGAATTTTGTGACATGGCGCCACTTAAACACGCCATTTTCTTGACTCATTTGGTGTTTTGGTAAAAGGTCATTACTCATTTTGAAGATCTGTTTGTGTCCAAGTCTTATTTCTGGTTGAATTCTTGAGACATGCCCTCAATATTTCCACATGGTTTCTTTCCTCATAATGCCATCTTTTCTGTGAATGAAGAAAAGCTCTCACAGATGAGTCGGTGCTGCTCTCTAGTTTCAGCGCTTCTTATTTTCTATTCTTTCTATTCTCTTCAAATTGTTTCTACAGACTAGAGGAGACACATCCAGAAATTTTTTTTCCTTTAATTTGCTTTTGATTAATGACCTCTTCCTTCCTGAGTGGCCTTTCAGCCCAACTTTTTACACCCAGCACCTACAGAAAGTCTTTTTATGTCAGACATTTTTACATCAGTTGTTCCTAATTGAACTAAGACAAGAAAAGCTCACTTTGATTTAATGTCTGACACAAGAGATTATACGTCTTTCTAAACTGTGTATGTAAATATCTGGAACATTGTAGAAATATTGAATGTTTGGGAGAAATTCTTAAAGAAAAAGTATGATTTTTTTTTTTATTGCGACCTTTAACTTCATGTTTTTGTTTTGTTCTGCCTGTAGTGGGGGTCACTTTATGAACACAGCAGAGAAGATCCGCCTCCCTGATGACTGCACCATCGGCTACATCATTGAGTCGGTTCTGGGGGTCCCTCTGACTCGGAGCAGCTTGTTTCACTCCCACCTGGAAAACCTGCAACAGGTGTCTCGATCTGAGATTCACAAGCAGGTGAGACCCTGGCAGAACATTTTTGTTCTCTTCTTTGGACATTCTTCACCCATCATTGAATAATCATTCTCCCTCTGCTCCCAGATCACTCTCAGTTATGGGATGTTTGAAAACAAGAGCAACATCATCAGCTTGAAAGGGGCTTTTCCTGTGGAGGAGGATCCATCAAGGTGGAGATTTTTTTCTGCTTCCTATTTAAGCAGGTTTTTGACACATTTTCCACTTGTCTAAATCCCCGACCTCTGTTTTTCCAGGTTCAGGTCTGTTCACTGTCTCCTGTATCCAGACACACCATGGTGTCCCCCTCAGGTTGCCTTCTAGGGCAACTGCTCCTTTCTCATCCTCGTCCCCGCCGCGCCTCGGTATCTGAAAGGCTCACGGGGACCAGTGTTTTTTTGGTATGAGACTGCGTTGCTGCTGCGTTCTCGCAGCAGCCATGCGTGGTCTTTAATGGTTTTACTAGGCTGCTGTGCGGCCCATCTTTGGACTTCGTCTCTTCGCCACAACTTCGTCCAACAAAGCTTGGGTGGAGGATTTCGGCTGTCGGATGGAAGTAGCTTTTACCACTTAGCTTTGCAGGCAATCAGTTGTGCTTTTGTGATGTAAATGTTGCTTGTAAATGCTTAAGCAATTCTCATAGAATGTATCCTCATATATTCTAACCTTTTGCCAGCTTTCCTTTTTTTTCTGTTAAAAACTTAAATGCCACTCAGGACTATGATTGGCTCTGAGATCTTTTATAACGGGAAATTTTTTTCCCTTGTATTTGCCTTCAGTTCTGGTCCAGATGACTCCGGATTAATGCTCTGAAATGAAGATATTGCTGTAATTTTTCATGAACAATGTTACTTTTCCCACAACCTAAGCTGGCAATTGGCACATCTCCAAATACATTTTTCTGTGAGGGACCTAATCTGAAGTATGTCAGAAAAAAAAGCACTTTTTCCTCCTTATTTTAAAGATTATAACTAATTGCCCGAGTTTACGTCCTTTAATGACATACTTCAGATTTGATTCCAAGCAAAACAAAAGAAAATGACCCCCTAAGAATCTAGTTTCCCTTTTTGTTTCTATGTATTTTATAACACTGCTTGCATTAGTTACAATCAGGGAAAAGCAATAGGGGGAAAGATTGTGTTTTTTTAGGAGGGGGGGTTAGAATCTGCTTTGAGAAATGTTTTATGTTGTTTTAAAATTGCACAGCTGTGTTTCAAATAACCTGACGTTTGAAGCTCACCTCTACAGACCCGCTCACTGTTGATTAGTAGCCAAAAGAGCCAAGAAAAAGTGACATCTGCTCGTATTGTCTGTTATGGCTTTCAGAGATACAACAAAGGAGATATCTGTTATTATTAACTCTGCTGGTCCTTATTTACGCATAAATCCAGCCAGTTATTGTTCAGACCTTTGAGGTGAGCGCAGCGTCAGTGTTTCCACATGGAGGTGTTTTGATCCCTCTGTGTTCTCTCTCACCCATATTGGGTTTCATCTTTATTGCGGTATTGTATACTGCACCTTTGTTTAAAAGAATAGGGATTGTATATGCTTAGAATGTCATTTTCTCATTGTGGTTTTAACCAGTTTTAAATAACTCGGCCGGGATTTGTTTTATTTTATTTTTTCTTGGTATTGCTTTGAACTGTACGACATGATTGGTGTTTATTCTCCAGTATCTGGAGGGTTTTTACAGTTCATTCCCACATCTGACTTCTCAGGGATTATGAGCTGATCCTGGTATTAACCGTCTTGGGACCCATGGTGGGACCCGAAAAGTTGAATAAATGTGCTTAACCACTGAGAACCTTTTACATTGTTGTTATGTTTTTTTCTGTCTTCATATAGAATTGCTTTTTTTTTACCCAGCCTCAGTCAAACATGAAGTTTCATAAAAAGAAGAGGATGCAGAACCAGAAGGAAGATCTATAAATGATTGGAAAGTTGTGAAGCACAATAGGAAATAGAATAATTTCTTATATTTACCTTTGCAGTTGCTGTGAAGTAGTTAGTTCTGGTTATGTATTTAGGGTCGAACAACAGCTTTTGCTAAATTTTCATTTAATTTTTTTTTGTTTTATTTATTTAACCTCCATCCCGTCATTTTAATCTGAGATGAAATATCCGAATAGATAAACCTTATTAGTGAAAAAAGAAAAAATAGAAACTTTAAGGAAGTGTGTATTACCAATAAATGTTTCTACAGCATCTAGTGGTCATGGTGTAAACAGCAGGCCTTTTTATTAGTGGAAAACAAAAAAAGTAGATTCAAGTTGTTCATTGGTCATTGTTAGTATGTAATGAAAAGCATTTTTTTGTCATTTAAGATGTACAGGTTAGGGTGTTTTTTTTTTCTTACAGTCCTGAATCCAGTTGTTGTATGAAGGGAAAAAGCTCATTTAGCATCATGACTAAACCCTTTAAAAGTATACATATAAGTATGTTCAATAGGGTGAAGATATGTTAATTTAACGGCAGGATAATATAAAAGTAACCTAATAATCACCAGACTTTAAAACATGCAAACATCTATTGAACAAAACTGACCCTAACCCAACTAAGATGATGTTCACATAGGTTTGATGATCCTTCAAATATTTAAGACTAATCATGAATCTACTATTATGATTAAAAACAAACCACCAGTAAACAATCTTTCAATAATTCTAAGCTCTCACACAGCACTATAGTATTCATGTTATACAATATTTTGCTAACTGATAGTCACCACTTTTAATCTGGTAATTTCTAGTGTGCTTTTTAATTCAAAAATGTATCATTGAATTATGGTAAATATGGGCCTATGTGGTTTATAAGTTGTGAAATTAAACTTAATTTTTTTGAATAGAATTTTTTAATAAAAGATCATAATCCAGAATCAAATGAAAATACATAATAAAGTGAAAAATGTTTCAGAACTAAATTGAAAATCACAAACCTTTAGTTTTTAGAGCTATTCCTAGTGTATGTCTTATTTTGCATGTGTAAGAAATCATGTCAAAAACAAACTTTTCGATGTTAACCCAGTGTTACTCAGTGAAATACTATAAAAATCAAAATTTCATGCCAATAGTGTCATTGGAATCCAGCACAAGACCTTATTACCTTTGTAACATTCAAAAATATGGATATTTGGATGGCAAAAATGAATATCAGTGTAATAAAAAGAAACAGCAACTTTCCCGAATATATAAAAAAAAATAACAAAAGTGTTTCTATAAGAAATTCATGAAAAACACTCTAAGAGTGAAAGAAACACATTTATTTTGATCCAACATAACTTTAGAGGCATTAATGCTGATACTGGCACTTACATTTTATAGTTTACAAACCTAAATATAATTGTTAACTAGTCTTATTACATTTTTAACTTTAATTTTTAACTTTTCAATTAGCTTTTTACCTTTTTTGACTTGTTAGTTTTTTTTTTGACTTAATTTATAGTAGGTAAAATATCATTCAAGGCCTCATCTAATTGGTCAAATGCCAAAATAAGATGTACAGTCATGTAGCAGGATCTTTGCTGAATGGCTGGATAAAGATCTTGTGCTTCTTGACCTCACTGAGGGATGAAGGGGGGGACTCCATTTGTAAGGAGTATGCAAGTGATTAAAAATGCTAAAAAATATCATAAAAATATATAATTTAATGTTTAGAGAGTAGCAAAAAAAAAATGTTTGGTCCAAGAACGGAGCCTTGTTGGATTCCTAAAGGACATCAAAGATAAAATAAATAGCATCAACATAAACCATTGCTTTCTCTTTGGTAGGTAGTGTTTGTGTTGAGTGAAGCACCATGATGATGAACTTGTTGCTTTGTTATTTTCTTTCTTTTTTGCTCATTTCACGGTTTTGTCCGACCTCTTAGGAAGTCTTTAATTAACCTAATTTTCCATTTCTATAACGGATACTCTCAATATAAACTGATACATAATTTCTTTAAAGTAAACAAGACAACAAACAAAAAACTTTACTCCTTATTTAAGTTTTGCATTTCAACCCCCTGTGCCTTTAAGAGGAGAATCTTTCTTTCAAAGCACACTAATATGTTTTCCCACCTAAATTTCTGGGATAGATTTATGTAAACAATAATCATCATCCAGCGTCCCACAAAAATGATTAGAGATAAACCCTTGAAACAAAGAATTGCTGCAGGAAGCTTTTGTCCCTAAACCTAAACATCATTAAAAATGTATAAAGAACCGTACAAATCCCGGAACTAGATGCCTTTTGCTGGAGAAATCAATCAAAAGTGTACAGTCAGCTGTCTGCAAAGACTGTTTTAAGAAGATGTGACACCATAGAGGGATTTTGCTTACTGCTTTCCTAAGCCTTTACGGTAAGCGCTTAGAAGATATTAGAAGAAGACTTTAACACCTATATTCTTTAACAGCAAAAAATAGAAATGATATGCTGTTTCACAGGAAATGGGACTTGCTGTCTGAATCAGGGCTAAAGATTCATCATCAAAGCATTGCATGGGAGACAAATTACTCCCAGCAAACATCCAAACCACAAACCATAATCACAGCTTTGTCCTCCAGAGATGTACAGTGGGAAAGAGACCAAAGCCTTTCAAGTGTCTGGAAGCTCATGTTTAAACATTTTGTTTAACATGTTTACTCATAAAATGTTTTGTATAAATCGGAACAAAAAGTTTTGCATCATCGGTGTATCAAATTAAAAAAGAACCGGGACATCTTTTGCTGTTTGTTTCAGCAGTAAATGTGTTTAAAAAACAAAGGGAAGAGAGAGATTTGTCCTCTGGCACAGAAACCATGGGAAAACACAGTATGTGGCTTAGGTATAAAACTCTTAGAATTTTAAAAACAGTAATCAGATGGAAAACAATGTGACATATGCTTACAAAAGAGAACAGTTTTTACATAAACAACAAAACATTCATGACTTGGTCTAATACAGCTGTAATCTTATTATCTTCCATTCTAAAAAAAAAAAAGTTTTAGGTAGTTTCATAAATCTTTGATTATTGCAAAATGAAAAAAAAAACATAAATAAATATGTGATAGCTTTGGAACAATCTGTGATCCTTTGACATCAGTAATCTGTCAAACACACAAACATCTGCAAGCAGCTTTGTATGCATAACAGCCGTTACATGTGATTATTGTCCTTTGGTGGTTTCCCTGTGTTTATCTTTCTGCAGTGTTTGCTATTGTAATTAAAGCTGTATCCATACCAGCTGCGGAATAATCCAGCCTGACTGTGTTTTTAAGCACAAGCCATTAGCATTTTCAGTTTTACACACAAAGCTCAGGGAAGCTTTTTCCTCATCACAGTTTGACTCAGGACAGGGATTTGTAAGAGAGGAACCATGCAAAGAGAGCAATTTATTTTCAGTCAAGTTGTGCAGTTTATGCAGTCTATGCACACTTTTGCTGATTATCACTTTTTTCCCCCGTAAAAATCATATTTTTGTTTAATCTACCTGTGAGAGATGCTACATAAATAAAGTCAACTTACTAACCTACAATATGTTATGAGTTTTACTAAACAAACTGATATAAATCAAATCATTTAAACCTTCAGTAAATTGATATTTGTCCATACAATTTAACTGAAAAAACAAACAAATCAATCCACACCGCTTGTCAAATACTCTGTTTTATTCACCTTGTGTTCCTTCTTAACATGTGATGTTTTTATCTGCAAAAAACATGACCTAATGCGAATCAGATTACACTGAAATACATTTCAGCTGCAGGAGTCTGGGTTTTTAGAAACGTGCCTATTTGCTTCCATTAACAAAAGCGGTTATCTATAGACAGCTTCCAAAGGACCACAATTACGTCTTTTAAATGTGTTGGGCATTGAAGGGATACTTGCAAAGAAGTCCTAAAATAGGATTATAAAAAATGTTTTAAATTAAGTTTGCATTACGCAAAGGGTTTTGCAAAGTTTAAAATTAAACTTCATTGATCTCAGAATAGAGAAATTAACCCTGCATTCAACCCACCCCTTTTGGGGAGCAGTAGGCTGCTGCTGTGCAGCACCTGGGCATTAAGGGTCTTGCTCAGAGACCCAAAGTGGCAGTGGGTTTTGAACTCACCTTCTCTGCCACTCCCCAAAATTTAAAAGTGCAAGTGATAGAAGAAGAATGAGATATAATAATCTAGAATAGAGGTATTCTTTATATTCCAGCAGTAGAGAATAACAGAAGGTAAATTAAGGCATACATTTTGTATTTTTTTTTCTCTGACCGTGACTGAGTGGATGT